GACTCAATTCCCTCATCATACACGAGTCGTGGGGAACAGTAAGGAGTTTAGCACCTTTAGTATCCTCATCAATTCCCTCCTCTGTCGATAGAACTACGCTAGGCTAGGAGGAATTCCAAAAAAACTGCAGTCAGAATATTACCCCTTAACACATGCTGCTCAGAATACTTTTCGAAGGCCAATATTCACCCTGACAAATAATTATCACTTTTGCAGGTTGTAAGCAGAACTGCATAAACGAGTGAGTTGGCTACTGAGGACAGCTAAAAAGTGAGTCGCCTCCCTCATTCTTTCCATCCAGCTAGGCACGGCAATAAGTGGACATAGACAAACTCCAGTGAGCAAGCAGCGAAAAACAACAGAGCATACGGAAACAGAATGGGTCTAAGAAAGCGTTGAACAGTAATGCTGTCATTTTTAAACTACTATGAACTGTCTAGAATGTTTGTGAATACTTGTCGAGGGATAGAAAAGAATACAAGCCCAGTCTCAGACGGTTACGCGTGCAGTCTCAGCGACTAACCGCAGAGCACTCTTGGCAGAGGAAGCCCTAGCTGGGGATCCAATGAGCATCAGCATGCAGGTTATAGGGCTCTTTCCACCGCCTCTTTCATTCTCCGCAAATTACCTTTCCGTCTTTAAAGATGAAAAGATTGTCACCAACATGCACAACGTGTCACCTATGAAGACGGCGAGTGAGGTAATGCCAAATCAAGCATTCGTTTGTGATTGTCTATATATAATAAAAGGGAGGTCGACTACGCATCTCCCATCACTCAAAACTATATCTACGCATCAATATTATTTGACACGACATACCAGCAATTACCCGGTATAGACAGACGTTCTACATTCGCCCTTTCCAAAGGTTCTACCAAAGTTAAGCGATTCTGTTCTCCGACATGTCCGGGTAATGAAGACTGGAGGTTAGAACGGACTCCTTCGACACATTTAACAAAGTTGCCAACAGATTCTACTCCTAACAAAGAAAAGTCAAATGCAATTGATGAAAACTCATGGCAAATGATCACATTCGGTTATTTCCCGCGTTCAACGAAGACACATTCGTCAACTGCAGAACACGGCTTCTAACTCGGGGAAGCACCCTATTCCTTATATGCGGACCATCAAGGTGAAGTTGAGATGGCCAATAACACAATCAGTTTTTATTAATCGCCTGCATCCTTCACATAACGAGTTTAATAAAAAGACCCTCACAGCACACTACAAGTCCAGAACATGCTTACCGAAGCACAACTTCGCCCAGTGCGCGAAGTTATTTGGATATGACTTGTTTGTGTAGTCAAACAACAAAGAATGCATCCAAAAAACATAGAAAAAACAAAACAGCAAAGAAGAAGCAATTGTTATTTTTCTCTGTTAATGTTTCGGGGTAAAAAAATAATGCAGCAGCAAAAATCATAGGTGTTACATTTAAACGTTTGTGTACTTTTTGTTGTGTTGTCAAATTCAAATAAAGGCAGGCTTTTAAACGCACTGTTTTGGCTTTTCGAATTCTGCTTTTTAGGTGCATTGGTTTGAAACGATAATAACTTGATATTTACCTCCCAATCATTCTACTTATCACTTAGGTATGCGTTTACATTATATTTTACCTATCTGCCTATCGGTTTGTGTTAGTCAGGTTTTTTAAAAAGTCTGTATTTTTTATCAAGCCACCACAAGGAAGGATAGGCAGATCCTCCTCCGGACACCAGTGGTCT